TCCAAAACCCGCCAGGATCCGCATAAGTTAGGTCAACAAGAAACTCCTCAAATAGTAATTATGTAAATCTCGATGCAACTGAGGTACACTCAAATGCGTGTCACAATTATGCTGAGCCCTCCTGCCATGAGCTGCGTGCAACTAGCTTATACCTTTTGCCTGCACTGAAGGTCTCATCCGTTGTTTTCCAGGTACGCTCGCTTGTTTATACGCAGCGAACTTTCCCGGCCATGGGGTTTCACTTCTGTTGTGATCAACGAGGCATTTTACACGCCGTTTACTGCTTAAGCTTCCGACTGTTCACACGGTCACAAAGAAATGCTTGAAGCACTTTTTTTGTTCGTCATCCCCTCCGCCGTAATCGTTGCCTACTCTTTCATTGGCGACCAAACCATCCATACACTGTTGATTTCAGATTCTGATGCGGCACGAAATGCTGAGGACACCTGATGCTGGAAAACATCGGCTCCTTGATTTGTAGCCCTGCTTTGCTTTAAAAGCTCTGCTGCATGTGCGTTTCACGATGCTAGTCTCTTTGTACCACGCGCAAATTTTTGCAGCATCTCCTTCATTTAGAGAGGTGTAATTTCAGTGAGGACAGCATCACCCCGGAGAAAGGGGCGGCACCGTTGAGTATCTCCTCTGGTGACCGGATACGTTCTAAATAAATATGCTTGCGTTTTACATCATGTTAATGCACACTCCGGTCTTTGCAGTGTTTTGCTAGTGATCTGCTGTTTATTTTACATCTACTTCAGATGACGGAAATGGTGCTAAATAAGAAGTAAATTCGAGCAAATTTCCTAGTCGAGCTGAAAATGTCTCGTAAAACAGAAAATAAAGCTCGCACGTCAGCAGCCCATTTGGCCCTGAAACTGCTAACCAGTGTGCAGTTCAAAAAGTACTGCAGCGGAGGCAGTGGTTTTGAAGATGAAAGAATGGTAGCTGATCACTAGAAGTTGAGGACTGCCAGCTGGAAGCAATCATCCATGATATTCCTTTTGCAACCATATCATGAACCACTTCTCGGTCGGATTTGGACGTGCGAGAAAATCGAATTTTTTCTGAATCCGATGACGACCAATTGAGCGGCTAAGTCAAAAAGAAACCCGAGATTTGACAACAGGTTTGTGGCTCTACACGCATTTGGGCGTAATGCTCCCAAAATTTTCAGCTTTTTGGCTCTAAAAGTTCTCATGCTGAATTGTACGGGCAAGCAGGGAGATGTGTAATAGACGCGGATCTTGCTAAATGCGTTTTTCCTTGTAAAAAGTAAATAAAAAGTTACAAACTTAGCGAGCATAGTTTTGGCGCAGTCACGCTCGTTTCGCCTCACTGTCTTCCAGTAATTCTTTAAAGTGAATAATTCCCGGAAATTTGCGTATGGCAAACGCGCATCGACTTTTTGCTGGTCAGCAGCATTTTCATCAGCACCGCCACCACCGCCAGCGGCTGGTTTGCCTAGATCATGGGAAGCTCGTGGTGGAGCTGGCGCACTGCTTCCAGAACCCATAGTGATACTGCTGTCAATATAAGTTGTGAGGGGGAAGAAACAGCTCCAAACATTCAAATAGGTTTCTTTCGATTTTTCAGTCGAACTTGTCCTTAAGAATGAATCAGAAAGCAAGCAGCAATTAATCTTGGAGTGACCAGTGAAGTATTACTATTTGATTGTTAAAAAGGGCACCAGATTACAGAGTTCGGTCGACAACACATGCGGAAGCAGCATGATCTTTTTGACCCTCCATGAAATACAGATCAGCAGAAAGTCCAGCACTGTTCCTGAGAAGCAGCTCAATTTGCTGTCATTAACTGTGCTGGATTGCTTTCAATAAATTTCAGTTCATTGCTCCATTTTGCAATGAAAAAATACGTAAAATAGCAAAATATGCAGATATAATGTGTGTTTCTCAAAGTATGCGAGTACTGTTTGTGGGGAAAAGCATGCAGATATGTGGCGAGAAAGATTCAATGCGCAGTGCCACTTCAGTTTGTTTTTGCCAGGATACAACTTTACTCACAACAAATGTTTGCTTTCAGTCGTCTTTTCAAGTACAATGTCTGAACACTGGCAAACCATTTCCATGCAGTGGTTGATAGGAATTCTCAACAATCGGCTATATCTTTTCAGGAATGAAAAATCCTGGGAAGTGACAAATTTTGGCACAGTATAGCTGATTTGTTTGCAAAGAAATATGTCAGTTGGCCGTTTTCTCAGTGCTGCAGTTAAGAGGGCGTTCAAAACAATAAAGAATAAATTGAGCTCTTGTTGTGACTATGCTAATAATCAAAAAATATCAAGCAAGTAAAACAGCAAAGAATTTTCAAAAAATAAAATTGTTAGGGATCAAGTTCTGAGGGCTCGCTGAAAGATGTTATGTGGTACTGGGTAAATCAGCCTTCGTTTCTGGAGCTGTCATGACAACGGTTCGGTTCGCTTCAAACACACGCACATACGGACAAGCACATACACACACACACGCACATACACAGGCACACATACGTCCATAGACATGCCCACACACATACACACACAGCCCGAGGGAGCTCACTTATGCAGCTTCTCAAGCCGCTTCAAATAACTAGCGTCTTAGCACCGTACATGCTTCAGCATTCATTATCTAATAATATCTTATTAAGTAAGCAAATTTTGCCCTCCTCTCCTTCATCATGAACAATGATACAAACGCATAGAGAAAATTGAATTTTCTTGGCTTGTGAGTGAACAAATGTTGCAATATTTGACTGCTAGAATCTTAGTGGGAACCTCTCTGCCAAAAATTCACTTCTAGATCAAAACAGATTTTGTATGCTTGAGGCAACTTTTGATAACTGAAAGTCGCTAACAGCAGACAAAATAATTTCAGAACAAAACTAATTCAAAGTTAACTCAAAA